AATGTGTGGGCGGTACTCTCGCTCCCGTGTAGCCCTCGCTCCCATGCAGCTGGAGAGTATAAAAGGAAGAGGTTCTGTAATAAAGCAAGCGACATAAGAAGAAAGGTGCCTTCCCGTCTCTCTGTACTCATCCTTTCAGGTTTAGGACTTGCTGGCAGGATCCTGACGTCGCGGCTCGCGACAGATATGACTTTGCAGGGCGTGGTGGCGAACGCCTGTCATCCCAGCACTCGGGAGGCTGAGGCAGGAGGATCTTGTGAGTTCGAGACCAGCCTGGGCTACACAGTGAGTTCCAGGTCAGTCTCAACTACATAGCGAGACCCTGTCACAAAAAAACAAAAATTGCATTTTACCAATTGTCTCTTTTCTTTTTTTTTCTTTTTTTGGTTTTATGTAGTTGAGACTGACCTGGAACTCACTACGTAGCCCAGGCTGGTCTCGAACTCACAGCGATCCTCCTGTCTCAGCCTCCCGAGAGCTGGGATGACAGGTGTGCGCCACCACGCCCGGCCAATTCTTTTTTGTTTTTCCCCCAGTACTGGGGATTCAAGTCAGGTCCTTGCACTTGCTGGGTAGGCACAGTGTCACGGAGCCACATCCCTGGCCCAACTACGATTAGTTTTTGCAGCCTTCTGGCTTTTGATTTTTAATGAAGTATTATAAAAGAATGCCTAGGGCCAGGATCTAGCTCAGTGGTGCTACCACCTGCCTCGCAAGCACAAGGTCCTGAGTTCCATTCCTGGTACAAAAAAAAAAAAATGCCTCGTTTTCAGGAAATTCAGTGATGTACTTAGATAAATGGGTGGCTGAGTGGGTCAAGGGATGAAAGAATGGATACAAACATGGATGCAGTGTGGATGGACGGATGGGTGAGGAGGTAGTGGGGGCCTGAACCGCTGAGCGGACGTCTGTTATTCTTGCCAGGACTAATTTCCAAAAGCTACTTCCTGTGAGAGAAGTCACTGTATCTCTCATTTAAGCCATGAAGATTTTTACATTTCTTATTGTTTCCAGCTGAGTCGAATCTTTTTATTTGTTTTTTGTTTTGTTTTGTTTTCTTGGTACTGGGAATCAAACTCAGGTCCCTGTGCTTGCGAGGCAGGTGTCGGCACCACTGAGCTAAATCCCAACCCCAGCTGAGTCTAACCTTAATATCATGAAAAGAAATAACCCCTTAGGTGTCACGGCGCACACCTGAGATCCCGGTGCTATAGGGGAGGCAAGGGCAGCAAGGTCAAATGTGTGAGCCCAGCCTCAGCAACTTAGTGACTTAGCAAGGCCCTGTCTCAAAATAAAAAAATAAGAAGGGCTGGCGTAGATCTCAGTGTGAAGGCCCCGAATTCAATCCCCAGTATACACCCCCAAAAAATAATAACTTTTAAACTTCAATGTCTGGGTCATGCTAAGCACCATTTCAGATGATCTTGGAATCTAGAATGTTTCTCAAAAAGAAAAAAATCTTAGGACTAAGTTGTGGTTTTTTCCTTTTTTTTTTTTGTCTGTCTTTCTTCTTTGTAATATGGTACTAGGGAGTGAACCTAGCGCCTTCCCACTGAACTATATTCCTAACCCTTCTTTAATTTCCATTTGAAACAGGGTCTTGCTAAATTGCCCAGGCTGGGCTCCAACTTGCGATCCTCCTGCCTCAGCTTCTCAGAGTGCTGGGATGACAGTTGCATGCTGTGCCCCAGAAGTCTGCATTTACAGGTTCTTCTCCCACGATTCTCTTACTCCCTACTAGCTAACAGCCTCCCCAGTGAAAAAGTGGGTGGAAATCATCCTGTTTCCTGTAACCTGGTCCCTTCCCTTCTATCTTCAAAGATTTGGGAGCTGCCAACAAATCAGGTCTTCACAGCAGGATACAGGAGTATCAGATTACAGTCCTCAAGGACTGGGAATGTTCAAAGCCTGGCAACCTCCACTCATGGGTTTCTTGACCTTGGTTGTGTTCCTTGACCTCTGTATGCTTCCGTTTCCTTACCTATCAGAGCTGACAAGCGTAACTACCCTATAGGGTTATTTTGAGGACTCCAAGAGTTGAAAACTCTACAGGGCTCTAATTTGAAATCCTCCTGCCTCAGCCTCCCAGAGTGCTGGGATTATAGGTGTCACCACCACACCTGGTTCTGCACTGACTTTGCTATTAGAATTCGCCATATCTTTACTTTATTTTTTTTTGGGGGGGGTTTGAGACAGGCTCTCACTATGTAGTTGAGACTGACCTGGAACTCACTATGTAGCCCGGGTTGGTCTTGAACTCACAGCGATCCTCATGTCTCAACCTCCCAAAACTTATCTTTAAAGGGCTATCAAAATGTATATGGGCCATTTGTTCCAGAGATTTTTCTCTGCCTCACTATCTACAATATTATTCATACTCCCAAACTATTGCTTTTCCTATTTTGTTTCTTCTTTTGCTTTGCTTTCTTTTCTCACCTCTTTTTTTATCCCCCCCCCCCCAGTACTGGGGATTGAACCCAGGGCTTCACATATGCTAGGCAAGAGCTCTTTTCTTTACTGGGTAGAGTGGCACAGGCCTCTAATCCCAGCACTCTGGGAGGCTGAGGCAGGAAATCTGCAAGTTCAAGGCCAACCTGGACAATTTAGAGATTTAATGCGGTCCCGTCTCAAAATGAAAATTTAAAAGGGGCTAGAAGGACCAGGGATTTAGCCTGCCTCGCAAGTGCAAGGTCCTGTTTGATCCCCAGTACCAGAAAGATACATAAATAGATAGGGCTAGAAATGTAGAAGGCTCTGAGTTCCATCCCCAGTATCACAGATGAGAGACAGAGGGAGGGGGCTCGACTCCTTAGCGTGTCACACTCATTACGATAACCGTCGTTTGTGTTGGGTATGGCGACACACATCCGTGGTCCCAGCACTCGGGAGGCTGAAGCAGGAGGATCATTTCCAATTTGAGACCAGCCTGGACGATATATGCAGACCCTGTCTCAAACAAAACCAAACCATAAGATAAATAAAGGAGGAGCTAGAGAAAGCATGTAGGTATTTGGGGAGAGGTTGCTGGCTCCAGCCTGGCCTGCAGCACTTCCCCAACCCCACTACCCCCGATCCAGTGCAGGCTGAGAGAACTTTCTCAAGTGCAGTAGGGGAATTCCGCTGGAGGTTGCAAGCCTAGGCCTCTGTCCGCCTCTGCCTCCTTTCCCACCCTTGCCTTCCTCAGTGGGTCTGGCTACGTGGGGCTCCACCTCAGGGGCCTGGAATTCCCCGTCAAAGATCTAGACCGTCTTCAAAAGAGCCACTTGGCTGGGCGAGGCGGTGCGTACCTATAATCCCAACACTCAGGAGGCTGAAGCAAGAGGGTCTCTGTGAGTTTGAGGCCAGCTGAACTACACTGGGTTTCTCCTGGTTTTGATAAGGCTTGTGCTTTCCTCTTCATGGCAAAGGAGATCAGCGGCTTCTCTGGAGCAGCAATCAGCCTGCTGGGTTCAAATCAGGCTTCCCTGACTATAGGCTGTGTGACTGGGAGCAGCTTGCTCAAACTCTCTGAAACTGCATCTCTGTGAGTTTATAAGCAAGCACTCTACCTTCTGAGGGGCTTTATCTTTGGGTGGTGCTGGGGATTGAACCCAGGACCGCGAGCATGCAGGCTGTCTTCCAAAGAAAGCAGACTGCAAGCCTCCTAAATCCCTTGTCAGCAGCTGCCCAAGGGGAAGAGGTCTAGGTTGAGCCCCACTTTCTCAGAAGCCACACTACAAGCCACGTGTGGTGGCACACGCCCGTCATCCCAGCACTCTGGGAGGCTGAGGCAGGGGGATCACAGGTTGGAGCCCAACCTGGGCAAGTTAGGGACTAAATGAGACCCTGTCTGAAAGCAAAAAATAAAAATGACCTGGGAATGTAGCCCCGGACTCACGGCAGCCCCTATTGTGGCAGGTTAAGGGTAGGCAGGGGCGCAGAATGGGGGAAGAGGGACTTTCAGCCCCCAAAGACACAACCCACGCAGAGAGAGAAATTGAACTATTTATTGGCTCAGGTCCGGGCAGTCGGGCTCGGGGGGCGTCTGGGAAGATCTTGAGGGGTACAAGCCCCCGACTGGCTCCTGGCCCCTAGAATTCTTCCATTCACAAGACACTGCTTTCAGGGGTGAGGTTTCTCTGCCCGTGAGATTAGCCAGCGATTCCAAAGCGGGCCAGGCCGGGCCTGCACCCCCCCTTGGCAGTGTCAATGTGGACAGGGCCAAGGGGACACAGGACAGCATCCACTCGGGGGAATCGGGGTGCAGGGAAGTCAGACACCCCGTATTTGCGCGCACACACACATAAATAGACTTTGTACCGCTATGGCCCGTCCACAGAATTCAGCAAAGTCCCTTCCAGGGCTGGCAAGGGGTTCGCGTGCCCACGCGTGTAATGGGTCACCCCACCCCCACGTGGCTCAGGGCCGCTCTGCCTTAGGTAATGTGGGGCCGGGTTGTGGGGAGGTGCGGGGTGGAACAGCTTGGGGTACTTTTCGGGATGGGAGTGGGCAGAAAGGGCCAAATCTCCCCCAGAATTTTCTCCTGTTTCACCCTGCCCCACAGGGATGGGGGCCTCCACAGCACCCCCAAACTGGTTTTTCCAGCCCTGGGTGATTTTTCAAGAGTCCCAGGTAGTGCAACTGGCCACCAATGAGGTTCAAGAATGAAAATGGGGCTCAGCCCGCCCCCCCCACACTTGGGTTTCCTTCCCCGGCAGATAAGAGGAAAGGGAAGAAATCACCAAAGGGGTGGCTGGTGACATCCGGGGAAGCTGTGGGTTTGGGCTGGGGAGGAAGCCTCCAGTTCCCGGGAACAGTGGTTCCAAAGAAGCGGCCTGAGGCTGACCAGAGAAGGTGGCAGGAACGGTAAATTCAGACAGAGGAGCTGGGTTCAAATAGGAAAGATGTTACAACAGGGCTGGGCCTGGTAGCCACACGCCTGCAATCCCAGCACTCTGGTGGGCTGGGCTGGAGGGTCACGGAGAGAGAGTTGGAGGTCAGCCTGGGCTCCTTAAAGAGACTCTGTCTCAAAACAACAAACAAACAAACAATCATTGAGAGGGGAGAACGAGCTGGAGATGCAGCTCGGTGAGAAGGCCTGGGGTTTAATCCCCACACACGCAAGCGCACGCACGCACACACACACGCGCACACACGGTTGTACCGGGTGGTAAACAGCTCCTACCCTGATCTCCCACTCCGTCACACTAGTCCTTTAAAGGTCCCTAGGGTCACCGCACTGGCCGCGAGCACTGCATGGCAGCCCTGCCGCCTGGCCACTCCATGCCCTGGCTGTGGGCCATCTGCAGATCCCCAGGTCTGGGGCAGGGGTAAGTTTGCTTGGCAACCCCTCACTTCCACCTGAGGTGATCAGGCCCCTCCTTGGCAGCTCTGTGGCCCGGCCCACCCCGTCAGACCACTGTGTTGCCCTCCAGAAACGTGGGCGTCGTGGGCATGTTCGTGCCCCTCTCCAGGGAGCTGGAGTTGCGAAGGGGCAGAAGACGGTGGCCTGGGGTCCTGTCCCGCCGTCCCGGTCCCCCCGCTGCCCGCCGCCAGCACTGCAGAGGCCGCAGCACCTCCCGCCGCAGGTCTCGGCTCCGCCACGTGTAGATGACAGGGTTCAGAAGCGAGTTGAGGGTGGCAAAGGCAAAGAAATAGTGGGCTTTGTAGAGAACGGGGCAGGACCGGACAGGACACGCGTAGTCTAAGAGCAGGATGCTAAACGCGGGCAGCCAGCAGACGATGAAGACGCCCAGCACGATGGTGACAGTTTTGAGCAGCGCCAGCGTCTGTGGGCCGGCCAGATCCGCGTGGCTCGAGCGGACCACACAGTAGATGCGGATGTACAGGGCGACGATGGCCAACAGGATGACGGAAAAGATGGTCACCACGCACAGCACGTACTGCTTGGCATACAGCGGGAGGACGGTGGAGCAGGCATCCAGACGGCCCAGGCAGTTCCAGCCCAGGATGGGGAGGCCGCCCAGGACCAGCGAGATGACCCACGAGGCCCCGATGAGCAGCAGCATGCGGCAGCTCTTGTCGCTGCCGTACAGCTTGACCTTGGCGATGGCCACGTGCCGCTCGATGGCAATGGCTAGGAGGCTGAAGACGGAGGCTGACAGGGTGATGAAGGCCGAGCCCTCCCGGGCAAACCACTGCACCGGCGTCAGCCCCAGGGTGACCGAGCCCGACAGCAAGGTGTTGGCGATGAAGGCCATGCCCGCCAGGAGGTCGGACGCGGCCAGGTTGCCCAGGAACAAGTACATGGCCGAGTGGAACTTACTGTTCCGGCCCACGGCGACGAGCACCAGCAGGTTTTCCACCACGATAGCGCAGCACAAGATGATGATGAAGGCCGAGGCCACCTGGCGGGACGGCGTCTCCTGCATGTCCAGAGTCTCCTTGGTGTAATTGTAGTGCTCCTTGACCTTGCTGGAATTGAGGTACTCTGAGTACAAAGCGCCCATGGTGGGGCTCAGTGGCCGGCCAGGGCCATGGGGCTGTCAAACTGCAGAGGACAGAGACAGACAGATGCCAGGTCAGAGCTGTGGCTGCTACCGACCTCCACGGTCCTTCTGGATCCGTGCTGGGTGAAATCCCTGGGCACACCTATAACCCCAGCATTCAGGAGGCAGAGGCAGGAGGATCGCTGTGAATTGGAGGCCAGTGTGGGCAACACAGTGAGGCCAACTCAGAAAAGGAAAACAAAAAGTTCTGGCTCTGGGACTTCTCACTGGGTGGCCACATGAAGTTGGATTCATCACCATTTTTTTTGCTGCTTCTTCTTTTTTTTAAATGGGTATTTAAGCCAAGAATGAACTACATCCCCATAGACCACCCCTTTTTCATTTAGTTTGAGATACAGTCTTGCTAAATCGCCCAAACTGGACTGGAACTTGGGATGTTCCTGCCTTAGCCTCCAAGTGCTGGGATTACAGGCCTGCACCACCCTGCCTGGCTATCATTGCTGCTTTACATCTGGGACACCCAGGGATGTCCATATACTCTCCAGAGTCTCCAGAAAGTGGTAGAGCCAGCGAGACTGGTTCTACCGCCTCCGTGTAGCCCCTGAGGGGTGCTCTTTCAAAGGAACACACAGATGCACTCCTTCCGGAAGGAAAGGCTTCTGGACAGCCTGGAGCTGCCCTCTTCCTCTCCTCTGGAGAACACACAGAAGCCTCAGGTCTCATGCAGCCCTGTGACCTGGGTCAGCGAGATCTTTGCCACAGATAGCACAATGCCCAGCTTATTACCACCCGCTGCCATATTTCAGGCTGAGTGTAAGCCCGGAGGCCCTGGGTGCTCCTGAGATTAGAGTGTGGGGAGACACCAGGGCGCCCTGGGGTTCAGCATCGCACTATCTTCAAGGACACAGGACGGGGAGATGATGCAGTCTGATTCCATCCCCACTCCAGCTCTGACTAGCCGGGCAAGGTGCTCTGACCTCAGCACCCTCATCTGTGAAATGGGTACAAGAAAGCCTCCTTCGGGGCCAGGGATTCAGCTCAGTGGTGCTGCACCTGCCACGCAAGCACAAAAACCTGATTTGGATTCACGGTACCAAAAAAAAAAAAAAAAAAAAAAAAAAAAAAAAAATTTTTTTTAAGGACGGGTTTTGAGACTGAGTCTCTCTATGTAACCCAGGCTGGCCTTGGACTCGTAGCGATCCTTCAGCCTCAGCTTCCCGAGTGCTGAGATCACAGGCATGAGCCACTAAACCTGGCTAAAAATAACCTTTTTAAAAAATGCATGAGGGGTGGGGATTTAGCTTAATGGTACCTCACCTGCCTCAAAAACTTAAGGTCTGGCTGGGCATGGTGGCGCACGCCTGTAATCCCAGCACGTGGGAGGCTGAGGCAGGAAGATCGCTTAAATTCAAGGCCAGCCTGGGCTACATAGTGAGTTCCAGAGCAGTCTGAACAACATAGTGAGACCCTATCTCAAAAAACAAAACAAAACAAACAAACAACTCAAGGTCTGAGTTCGATCCTGACAACGGGGTGTGTGGGTGTGTGTGTGTGTGTGCATGAAACCAGAAACCTGTAATCCTAGGGCTTGGGTGACTGAAGTTAGGAGGATCACTTGAGCCCAGGTCACCTCAGCAAGACTTCCATTTAAAAACAAAAAATTCCTGAAGAATGCTTAGCACCCAGCAAGTAGTAGCTAAAATTCTTTTTCCTCTTCCTGAGCTCCAGGCTGGGTGCCCTCCACCCAATCTTTTGGGAGAGGATGCTAAGTCAACCAAGACAGACTCCTAACAGCTTGTTCCCATCAGCACCATCTCACTCTGCCCTGGGCCAGAGAGAGGGTCCCTAGGGGTGGGCAGGGCTGTTGGCACCCCCTCCTTGGCCAGGATGAAATCCAGATGTGCGAGGCCCCTGGAACGAACAGGGTGGAGTCCTAGTCACATCCGGTGTGGGGAAGGCTGGATGGGGGGGTCACCAGAGACCCATCCGGGAGGTCCTGGCTGAGAGGACAGGGCAGCTGTGCTGAAGTCAAGCGAGCCCGCGGGGAGGGGGCAGGGCCTCGGCTTCCATGGAAACTTGAGTCACCCACCCGCCTCTCAAGGAAAACCGAGCAGAGGGGAAGCCGAGGGAGGAGGACTGCGTGGGCGGCGGCGATGAGGGCACACACCGGGGCCCGCGTGGAGGAGGGGGGGTCTCAAAGGAATCAGCTCAGGGGGCGCAGGGAGCAAGCCCAGGCCTTAGCTAACTAGACAGGAAGACGGGGAGTCCCTGGAACAGCGCCTGGCCAGGACCACGTGCGAGCCAGAAGCAACCATCCAGAAAAGGCTGGCTGGTCTGGTTCCCGGGGTGAGCCCAGAAGTGCTGGGGGCTTCCGGGGTCGCTAAGACATCTCACTTCCCGGGCACCCCCTCTGTCCCCAAAGGGGCAGCTGCTCCCCCTGGGCGGAGGGACATCCGTCCTAGTTTGGAAACAGAGAAGAGCTTGTGCGTGTCCTCGGGAACAGCTGCCCCGCCCTGATTGCCACACAGAGGGCCCTTGTTCCTCTGTCGGACAGGGCCCCGGGCAATCCGATGCCCTCTGCCCGCTGCAGCCAGTCCCAGGCTGGCTCGACCATAACAGGCTGGCCGTCGGGCCAGAAGCAGCCTGCACTCTGATTGGCTCGATTTTCCCAGAACACTGAGCGGCTTGCCTATTGGTTGGAGCTTTCCATTCTCGGGCTCTGATTGGCCCAGTTGGGCGCGCTCTACAGCTCGTCCCACCCACCCTGTTTATAAGCGATGGTGCTCGCTCTTTTTCAGACCGCGGGGTTAAAGCTGGGAGGATTCGGTCCCTGAGGACCAGGCTGAACCGCTGCCTGACCGCTGGGTCACCTCATCAGACGCCCCCACGCTGCCCTGAGTCTTGAGCGTCCAGGCCCCATCCCAGGCCTGGGAAGCACGTTAGCTGGTGGGCAAAAAGCCCAGGGTTTGTCTCACCGCCGCCCCCTCTGCAGCTCACGTGGGGGCCACCGCCCCTCTCCAGTTTGGCGACGATGACACGGACAGGAAAGATTTACTGCCGCTTCCTGGAGAAATAAGAAATATGCTCAGCCCTCACATCCCAGGGACCAGACCAAAAAGTCGGTCTTTGTTCCTACAGGGGAAGGCTGCGGGCACTGCAGACCCGTGAACCTAAGCGGTCAGGAGCAGGAGGGCAGGCAGCTCTCTTAGTCCCAGAAGGAGAAACTGAGGCCCGCACTATCCTAGTCTCGGCGTCCCTACCAGAACTTTCTGAAGGTAGGGGTTGGGGCCGATTAACGCTTCCCACAAAGAGGAAGCAGCGCCCTCCCCGGGCAGAGGGTGGCTTGGCCTGTTTCCCCTCGTTGCCACACTCATGCTATGCTCTGAGGTCTGGCTAATCACAGAGCCTGACTCTTGCTCACCAAGAGTCCTGGCTTCCAGGCAGTCCTGGCTTCCGCTCAAAGGCTCAAGAAGCCAGGAGTGGTACTACACACCTGCACTCCCAGCACTCAGGAGGCTGAGGCAGGCAGATGGCAAGTTCCAGGACGGCCTTGGCTCCGCAGCAGAGTGTGAACTTCAAGGCCAGCGTGAACTTCATGGCGAATCCCTGCACACCCCCCCCAAAGACAAAGGGCCGCTGGACTCTGGACTCCACTCGGAGACTGAGCGGCCAGGCCTGAAATAGGGGAGGACCAACTGACAGGGCAGAGAGACAGACAGCCGGGTTCAGCTGGAGATTAGAAGGGAAGGCTGGAGGAAGGCTCCGTGGCTTTCCCAGCTCCCCTCTACTCCCTCCCTCCCTGATGCTGACAAGCAGACGCTGTGGTCACTGTTCCCACTGGTCACAGTTCCCACTTGTCACCCACAGATCCCCTGTCCCTTGCCAAGAGCAGCTCTATCCCCACTTGTCTTTCTTTTGGTTCCTCCCTGGCTGTCACCCATCTGCCATTCTCCACTAAGCAATCGGGGGGGGGGCTTTTAAACTTCGACCTCCCTGGCTTGCTCCCCAGCTCCGCTCCACAACCTTCCCTGGCTCCCTATGGCCCCAGTGTCGTGACTCCCTATCTACCTTGCCTCCACCCACTCACCTCCCCAGGGAAGGGCTACTCTGACCGCACTGACTTCCTAAAAACCACCCAGGTCCCCGCTCTGAGCCTCGGCCTCTGATGTTCCTCCACCTGCTCCATCCTCCCAAATCCTTGAATGACTGTCCCTCTTCTCTTTTCAGGTCACTTCTCAGAGGGGCCTCCCCAGCCACCAGTTTCCAGCAGCAGCCTAGCCTCCCCAGATCCTTTCTGTTACAGAATCTTGCTTTATTATTTATCTCCACAGCACTTGCCACTATCACAACCTTATCTTGTTTTCTGTCTGCCTTTCCTCTGTATGATGTAAACTGCTGGCGGCCAATGACCAAGTTCCTTCTCAACCCTTCCAAGGATGCCTGATTTGAAGAAGGCGCTCAGAAACGGCGCGGAGAGGGCAGGGAGACAACGAAGGAACGATCCAACCCAACCGAGGAGACCCTAATGGGGAGGCTGCTTTGCGCGATCCGGGCCCAAACAAAGCAAAGGTCCCAGAGAGGCCGGATTCTCCCGCAGCCCCAGCTCAGCGCCAAGCGAAGCCCAGGGCGTCTCCATGGAGACCGCGGCAGGACCCGCCCCGCGCGGGCCGCACTCGAGGCCTCCTTATCTGGCCGAGGAATGCACGGTATCCACACTCGCTCTGGGGCGGCGCCTCCTCCCGAGACCCGCACGCGCGCGGGACCCCCACACCGCCCAGTGCGGTGGGCGACTGCCCGGGATCCGGCCGGGGGGCTCCGCCTCCAGATTCTCCGGACCTGAGAGGGGAGGGGCCCCAACTGCGACAGCTGCACCCCCACGTGCCAAAGCCGGCCCGGCGCCACGCGGGCACCGTGGGCTCAGCAAGTGGCATCTGCCCGACAAGGACCAAGACGGAGGAGGGGTGGAAATCCCCGGGTGAGTCAACTCGTGCCGGAGGCTCGGGACGCTGCGGAGGGTGCGACGCCACGCGTGCCTCCCCCACGCGCCATCGCTGGGCCCGAGAGGAACGAAAAGGCGCCGAGCCCCACCGTCGCTCTTCCTCTCCTTCCAGAACGACGCCACGCCCCCGCGGGGTGACGAAGCGATCAACAGCTTGGGGAAACTGAGGCACGGCACGGCCGGCGGCGTCTGCCCCGCCCGGGGGTCCTCGCTCCGCAGACGCCG